TTTAATAGTGTTTTAGAAGTTGAAACTGGTGATTTAGTGCATTTTTGACGTGGTAATTGCTCATAGAAAACAATGAAATTTAACAAAAGTTTTTTGTTTATAACTTTTAAATTGTTAATAATATTAGCCCTCCCCCTCCAGATTGTTAATAGGGGGACCGAAACGCGTCGTAATGTAATTACGTTTTATGTTTCTACATGAAAACTCAAATTGTTAAAACGCGCAAAAATATGAGAGTTGACCATCTTTTCGCTTCGCGCAGCAGCTTCAACAATCTATTCCCACAACAGCTGGTTCTACGTACCGGAATGATTCGGGTTTTACCCGACCAAGGGCTGTTGTTTCGGCGATCTAACCCCGTTTAGGTCGGCGAAGTATCTCAGAAGTTTTTCTTCCATAGGGCTACATTGGCTACGCATTTTTCTGCTCAGGGCTGGCATCGAGGCACACCTAGGGCCAGAAACCTACACCTGCTGTGTATGCCAGAGACGACTACACCACAACTCCACCTCAGTCAAGTGCAATGCTTGCGAGGGGTGGAGTCACCTCAGAGTATGCTCAGGATTACGGACACATCGGCAGTGGACCACGTCGTTTGTGGCCCCCTGCTGCTCAAATAGAGCAGCCCCCACGGCTAACCCCAGTCCACATGAGCAGCTCCACACAAATACCACAGCACAACAATATAACAACACAATAGACCACACCACAATCACGACTGACCACAGAACATACATAACCGCCCACCACCCACACGCCGCCGCCAACAACTCTTGGTTCTTCCTACAATCTGCACGGTATGTCAGACCAGGATATTCCGTAATGTGACATCAGTCAAGTGCAACACCTGCCTTGGCTGGTGCCACTTTAGGGTATGTTCAGGTCTGCGCACCACGCGAGATTGGACGAGGAACTTCGTCTTCATGGCATAGTATATTGATAGCTGCGGGCTAAGAAACGAAGTTGCACAGCAATTCAACATTGTTGAATTGTGCCGGGTACAACGTGCACCGTCGAGATCGCGAACGATATAATGGGGGCGGCTTAGCGTTCATCACGCACCACACCGTGCAGTATCGTCTTATCGAAGCAGACATCGACCGCAGGGATACCACCCTAGAATGTCAGGGCATTGCTACCCGGTCAGGCGATGTTGAGCTCAAAATATTTAACGTGTACATACCCCTGTCACCTGCTGCCCGGCAGGATATCACCTTGATATAGGTGCGCTCCTCACAAGTGAAAACCGTATGGTAGTGACTTTAAAGCGCACCACGATCTTTGGCACTCAAGCCTGTCAAACTATCGTAGGGGAACAGACTTGGCTGAGCAGATAGGCGATTCGACATTCTGCACAATGAACGACCTCGCACCCACCAGGATTATGGGCAGCTGCTGCAGCATATCGACAGGCCCTGAACGGCATTCACAGGGAGTCAGAGTCGAGTTATGTATTGTCCAGACCTGTGAATGCCATTCTAGGCACACAATCACCGGACATTGACGAGACGGAGCTTCATCTACCTCCGGAGACAAGAACCACAATAGCCCAACTTCGCTCTGGCTACTGCAGCAGGTTAAATTCATACCTGAGCAGACTAAACGCGGATGTGCCAAATGAGTGTCCGGCATGCGGAGAGACCCCTCACGACTCGAAACATCTCTTCGCATGCCCGGAAAACCCAACAACCCTAACGGTTTTTTCCCTGTGGACCGACCCAATGGCGGCTGCACGCTTCTTAGGGCTGCTGTTAGTGGAACTTGACGACAATGACTGAGATATTAACCGATCTGGGCGGGGTTGTTGTAGCCGCTACAACAACAACATCTATATGGCATGCTTTGTGGATTTTCATGCAATTAATCTTATCTGTCACGTAAAGCGCAGCATAAGTTTTATGTGGCACCAGCTTAAGGCCGGTTTTTCGAAAATTCCTCCTTTGGCACTCCATAGCACCTGCAATATAAGTTTGCCCCAAAAGAAATTTTATAACATTAGAATCATGAAAAAAGAGCGGACAACGACCACTTCTTAGTTTTTTTTTTGCTTAACCGGCCGTATTCTGCACTTATGCACAAAAAATTTCCACACAATTAGAATAAAAAAAAAGGGCAGACCACGCCCACTTCTTTTCTTCTAGCTTAACGGGCCGTATTCTGCACTCATGCCGTAAGTGGTCTCGAGTATATATGTGAGTGACGATTTAGTAGCTCTTCTTCTTCTTCTTTTTTGGTGCTGTAACCGCCTAAGCGATTTTGGCCGAGTTCAGCAAAGCACGCCAGTCGTTTCTCCTCTGTGCCAACTGACGCCAAGTCCTTCTCCACCTGATCTTTCCATCGCATTGGGGGCCTCCCTCTACCTCTGCTACCACCAGCGGGTTTCGAGTTGAATACTTTCAGAGCTGGACCGTCGGTGTCCATTCGAATGAAATGACCAAGGCAGCGTAGCCGCTGTATTTTAATTCGCTGCACTATGTCCATATCGTTGTAAAGCTCATACAGCTCATCGTTCCATCGTCTGCGGTACTCGCCGTCGCCAACGCGTAAAGGACCGTAAATCTTCCGCAAAATCTTTCTCTCAAACACCCCAAGAGCCGCCTCATCGGATGTTGTCATTGTCCATGCTTCTGCGCCATATACCACCACGGGCATGATGAGTGACTTAGAGAGCGAGGTTTTCGTACGTCGAGAGAGGACTTTACACCTGAATTGCCTACTCAGTCCAAAGTAGCACTTGTTGGCAAGAGTGATTCTACGTTGGATTTCAATGCTGACATTATTATCGGTGTTAATGCTGGTTCCCAAGTAAACGAAATTCTCTACTTTCTCGAAATTGTAACTGTCAACAGTGACGTGGGTGCCAAGGCGCGAATGTGCTGACTGTTTGTTTGATGACACGATTGAGAGAATACAAAGGTTGCGCCGATCTCCGACCGCTATTCCTCTCTTGACGAATTTGGCAGAATCGTTGTTTGCATGACGTCACACTGGTGCAACTTGTTTACGCTTTCCTTGCAACATTTTTTCTTCTTCTTCCATTCTTGCTCATGTTTTGGCATTTCTCTCGCAATTGCACCAGTGTGACGTCACACAAAAGTTATTCTCAAAAATCCTCTCTGAACGGCGCATTTGTATTCTATCATTCTTGGTTTGATGACGGGAGATACTTCGTCTTGTGCTCGTTTACCACCAGACCCATTCGCTTAGCTTCCCTATCCAACTTGGAAAAGGCAGAACAGAC